CTCGGGCCGCGACCGACCTCCTGTAGGACTGAGACGTAACCACAATTGATTGATCACTGAGTAGTGATCAATGTCATGCGTGCCAAGTCCTTATTTAGTGCAGATCGAATGCTATCGACCATGGTGCAATGTGGCCACCAGTCTAGGTGACTCGACACTGTGTGCACTATATATTGAGATTAGATGGTGGTTGGAGCTAGTCGATAAACAGATATAAGATAACGAGTCTTGGATTTCAGCACGAACTTCACTGATCCACTTGGCTAAATAGATTCATGGCATTATAGCTGATGTCACTTCTTAAGGAAAACCCTAAATGTAACCATCATAATTTGGTTCTAGTTATCAGGTGAACACTCTGAGGGTCATTTTAGAATCGCTTTAAGATCGTCCATAAATTATAGTCTCACCAGTATTGTTCAGTCATGTGTAACACAACATAATAACTAAGTGAAATTAAGTGCGTATAACAACAAACAGGTTAATTAACAAAGGTTTTAATGAAACAATTAACATCCGATTGGTGGAATTCATGTTTATCTTAAAAAACGGTGTCAATATTATCAATAATAATAATGAATAACATAGATCATATAGTATGGGATATTCAAGAAGCTTAATGACTGACAGTAAGATTTAGTTTGCTCAGAGCAATTATAGAATAAGTTATTTTTCCCTTTTTCGATCAAGAAAATTCATGCATATATTTATATTAAAGAAATATTAGTGAATTTGTCCGGATTTTTTTTCCAGTAAACCAAAGATGGTAAACAGTAATATTGATAATGTCATAATAATTTACGTCATAATGGATAAATTAATTTTTGTAAAATTGAATGATTATTTATGAGGAAGTAGATTATCAAAACAGGTTTTTGAGCTGAAACTAGAACCATGGTTACTTTAATACAAGTTAACAAGTTTAAAAAAATTAAGATCCTATTATGAACGCTGAACTAATCAAATCTTTTCATGTCATTGTTAAGAAGTTTATTTAAAGTTATTTAATGTTAAACGAATAGCCTAATGATTTATTTCACAAGATCATTAACATTACCAAGCATTCTCTTCATTAAAAGTGTAATACGTAAATCCTAATCCTTGAATGTTTTAAATTCATGACTCTTTTATTTAATAATAGACAGTAACTTAGTCGACATTACTCTAATAACATTTGCTTGTTTTAATTTTTTTAGATAAGATATCTTGTTGTTGTTAATGAAATGAGTTCAGTATACTTGTTTTTTTTAGAAATTAAGGCATGGTCTCAGCGTTCATTATGTTCATGAGTATTGGGGTTGTGGAGTTTATTGCGTTTTTTTCTCTGAATAATGTTAGACATTTACACCTTTAAACCATAGATTATTGGTCTGAATGTTAAGCATGACCGAAGGTCCTCAGTTTGACAACGTGTGACGGAATTGTGGGCGAGCATTGTCGAAGAGTACTAAACCTGGACGAAACAGCTATCCAGTGCTTCTAGGTTTTCACTGGTTATTTAAATTAGATTTATTCGTAAAGACATGCCAAGCAACAATTATTCATCTAACTCAAAACATCAGCAAAAATGTCTGATTATCAGCAATGACATTTAGAATAGATTTATTGGCGAGACTATAATTTATGAACGAACAAATCAGGCGTAAGATAACAGGTCTCGGGTTTTTGACACAAAATTCACTCATCCATTTAGCTGAATAGATTCATGGAATTATAGCTGATGTCAGTTTGTGATGAAAACCTTAAATGTAATTCCTAACCCTAACCATCAACTGTAAATCATAATTCCAATTCCTCTCACTGATTTATAACCCTCATTTAGTCCTAATTATCAGGTGAACACTCTCAAGGTCATGTTAGCGTCGCTCAAAGGTCGTTCATAAATTATATTCTCAACAATTTATTAGAAACCCATGACCAATAGTTCTGTCTTCTAAAATGTTATTTTACTTGAGATTTGTAAATTGTTTTTAAGGACAACTCTAGAAATATCTTTGTATTTTATCATTCTATTAAATTATCAATGACAAGTTCATCTTAGTTTATCATATAAATGAAATGATTGGTATGACATTAACCAACTATCAATTTATAGATTATTACATATCTAATTGTTAATTGTATATTCATTTCTAAATTTAAATATTAATGGGAACATTTTCAAATAAGACTGTAGTTATGACAAGGAATTCACTAAAAGTTTTGTTTTACATTAATGTACATGAGATTTCTATATTCCAGTAAGAAAAAGAACATTTAAAATGTAGACATCATTAATATGAAAATCATTTAGTTAAGTATAATAATATAACTAATACAATAAGAAAAAAAAGTATAAGCTGAATGAAATATTTATGATTAGTTGTGGCGTCGGAAACAAATATTTCCCCTTTTGATGAACATTGTACAGAACCCAAATAGATTCTACCACGTAAATTATTCTTTACATTTGTTTATAAAAGTAATTCTTATCTTCTAACTAGAACATTGTAAAATAGATTAGAATTTCGTTTTAAAGAATGTAAAGTATTCTATGTAAAGTCATTACTAAAGTATAGAGGTTTTTTTATTCATTTATAGAGTTTAAATCAATAAGTTGAAAGACAATGAAATGACTTCTTTTTTTTCAAAGTGGAAATTAAAATGACTTTAGAAAATCTAATGAATGTCAGTATTATTACAAGGAAAAGTAATGGTTAGAATCATGTGAGAAAAGATTTTCTCTGATTCTTTACACATTTAAATCTTTATCAGAAGGGATTTTTGTGGATATTATAGTAATTTCAATAGATGAGATCATGAGTCAGTTGAAGCTAGACCACCATAGAAAACCTGGAGGCACTGGACGAACATTTCGTCCTACTTTGAAACTCCTCAGCAGTGCACATCCACGACCACACCTCACTGAATTCGAACCCAGAGCCTATCAGTCTCGTACAGGAGCGCCTAACTTCTAGACCACTGAGCTGGCTGGCATGCAACGGCGCTAATCTCTAACTCCAAGTAATCCACGAAATTGCGTAACCGTCCAACATTATCATTAGTGGGATAAAATCTCACAACAGACCCGGTTGATGTCCACTGGCCACTGCTTCTCACTAGAACTCCAGGAAATACCTATTGAAGCCAGTCCCTAATGAGTGTATGCTGATTATTATCAGAAGGGGTTTATGTGGATTTTATAGTAATTTCAGTACTTGAGATTATGAGTCAATTGAAGCTAAACCACCATGGAAAACCTGAAAGCACAAAGAAAGCAATTTCGTTAGTCAATAAATAAACCACTGATAAGAATTCTCATAATCATTTTGGATGAATTATATATATGAGTTTTTCTTAAAATGTAGACAAAATTTTATTGACAGCTGTGCAAAAGTTACTTCTTTCTCTTGAAAGTATATACTTCTGAACGTAATTGTGTTTTTCTTTTTCCACTTAAAACTGCGAACTTTTTACTCAAGAGTTTACTTAGATGTCAGATAATCAAACAATAAAACTTATCAGTATAGATTGTGAAGATTATTGAGTTTTTATTGATATCATGATCCGATCAGTGTTAGGCCACCATTAAAAACTTGAAAGCATTGGGTGGCCGTATCGTCCTAGTACGGGACTCCTCAGCAGTGTGCATCCAAAGCTCTACTTGTAGAGCTCGAACACAAAACCTTCGGTCTTGTGTGAACCCTTAACCTCTGGACCACTGAGCTGACATCCAATGGTGTTAATGGATAACTTTGACTAATGCGCGATGTTGCGCGACCATCTTTCATCGTCTTTTGTGGATAAACGCCTAACACTCAACACCGTTGGACTCCACTGGTCACAGCTTCTGAATAGAAACCTGAGAATTACTTCTCAACGTTTATTTCAACATACATTTAAATATTTGGTCCTGAAAACCAAATCAAAGACTTTTTCACTGCTTTTTATATTGCTTAGAGAATTATTGAAAAAAAACAGAACTGGACGAAATTGTTTTATATAATAACACAGTTTTCTTTACAGATAAGTGTTATGTGAGCTATGGATACAAACAGTAACAATTTTGATTATTAGTTTAAAAATAATCAAATTTGACTTCTAATAGAATCAAGATCCTTCATTGATACTCTATGCTTTTTGGTTTTGAATAGGTTCTAATCTGATTGTAGTCTTTCACAAAAGCACATTTCAGTCAGTACATGTCTGTATGAAAAGCTAAACTGAATAATAATTTCCTACTGTCAGATAATACAGTGATAAAAGAAAATATTTCATACAGCTTAAAGCTTGAGAAAGTGAATAACTGAATAATAATTCCAATTTTAATCGTTTAAAGATCCCCGTCATATTTAACAAGTACAGGCGATAACCAATGTTCACGAAATTCTGTGCGGTTTATTTTCAAAAAGTGAATTTATCGCCATGAAATTGACTGTTTTACAAATATGTTCAAGATGATTAGTACTGTCTTACAATCAAGTGAGCTCATGCTTTATCATGTATCAATTCAAGAAAAACAATTCCATTAGTAAACATATTATTTCACTCTCCTGACCTTTGAAGAAACAAGATATGATGACTTTAGAATTCAGGAATCAATAATACCACGAGACTGGAACTGGTAGTAAACATTTTCAGGTGAATAGCATTTAACCTCTGGTTAGAAACATTCAATAAATATTTTTAATATTTACAAACTGAACGCATATTAGACGGTTATTAGTTTTACTTTTGAATACTATTCACTAAGAATTGTCTAAGCAAACGATTATGTTCCATGGCCGGTCAAATATCAGGTGATAAAATTGCCAATTAGAAAACTGACTTCTATGACTTTATCCCTATGCTACACCAATGATGAGTCAACCACCACCAGCAGCCTTAGGTCAACTCTGAATCTTTATTGATCCTCTGTATGGTCACTTTTCATCTAGCCCAGCCTATTCAGCCCAGAACACAAATGCAAACAGAATGTTAAATAAAGTAATTATTATGATTATTATTAATCAATTGATTTT